GTTCCACTCAGGCCAGGCTCATATTTTTTCATCTACATGATACACTTGGACATTTGCTCATGTTCTTTCTTCATGCCCTTTATGCCCTTCCTTTGTGCCCTTGTCCTTCTGTTCTTACCATTTCTGTCCTTCCCATACTCAAGAACCCAATGCTTCTAAGAAGCCTTTTTGTTATTTAAGAACTGAGCGTGGGTAGGGACAGGATTGGTAAAACTGGTAGAGGCTCAGACTAGAAAGACAGGTTTATTTAGCGGTCAGAGTATGAGAGTCAGGGTCTTTAAATTCAAGAATACGAAATAGGAACTAAACTCTGTAAAGCAAATCTAAGATGGGAAAACCAGTTTAAGGTGGAAGGATGGGAAGTGGAAGGATGGGATAAGTGACAAGTGAGAGCAAAGCAGTGTTACAACAGGAGATTTTGGGTTAAGACCAGAGTGGATGCAGATGGATCAGATGGTTTTTAAGGTCCAAATGGCCAGGCAAGATAGCACATTTTTAAATTTTATTTTTTAATAGTTTATTTTTTCTTATATATTTTTTTTTCTTTCTTTTTTTAAAATTGTTTTTCAGTTATAGCTGTCCAACCATTTTCCCTGCTGCTCTCCCCTGCTCCATCTCCCCCCGTTCCTAGTCAATCCCCCCGCCATTGTCTGTGCCCAGGAGTCCTCTGTTCATGTTCCTTGACTTGCCGCTTTCCGTTTTCCCCACCTTCGTCACCTCCCATGCCCCTCTCCTCTGGTCACTGTCCTTTATTTCCATGTGTCTGGTTCTGTTTTGCTCGTTTGTTTTGTTGATTAGGTTCCACTTACAGGTGAGATCATATGGTATTTGTCTTTCACCACCTGGATTATTTCACTTAGCATAACACTCTCCAGTTCCATCCATGCTGTAGCAAAGAGTAGGAGCTCCTTTTTTCCCCCCGCTGTGTAACATTCCATTGTGTAAATGTGCCACAGTTTTTGGATCCACTCATTTACTGATGGGCCCTTGGGCTGTTTCTAGCACTTGGCTATTATAAATAATGCTGCTCTGAACACTGAGATGCATAGATTCTTTCGGATTGGTGATTCAAGATTCTTAGGGTATAATCCCAGTAGTGGGATGACGATCAAAAGGCAGTTCCATCTTTAGTTTTTTGAGAAAATTCCATACTGTTTTCCACAGTGGCTGCACCAGCCTGCATTCCCACCAAGATAGCATATTTTTGAATTGAGAAGGGGGAGCTAGTCCAAGAAGACAAACGATCCAATCAAAAAATGGGCAAAGGACCTGGGCAGATGCTTTTCTAAGGAGGCGATACAGAGGGCCCAGAGGCATTTGAAAGGATGCTCAGCATCACTAGCCATCAGAGAAATGCAGATCAAAACCACCATGAGGTACCACCTCACACCGGTCAGAATGGCCATCATAAACAGATCCACAAACAACAGGTGCTGGCGAGGCTGTGGAGAAAAGGGAACCCTAGTACACTGTTGGTGGGAATGCAGCCTGGTGCAGCCACTATGGAAAGCAGTGTGGAATTTCCTCAGAAAGCTGAAAATGGAACTGCCTTTTGATCCAGTGATTCCCCTGTTGGGACTATACCCTGAGAACACCAAAACGCCAATACAAAAGAACCTATGCACCCCAATGTTCATAGCAGCACAATTTACAATAGCCAAGTCTTGGAAGCAACCTCAATGCCCATTAGTAGGTGATTGGATCAAAAAATTATGGTACATATACACAATGGAATACTACGCAGCAGAAAGAAAAAAAGAAGTACTAAACTTTGCGACAGCATGGATGGAACTGGAGAGCATCATGCTAAGCGAAATAAGCCAGGGGGCGAAAGACAAATACCATATGATCTCACCTATAAGCGGAACCTAACCAACAATCCTTTGCAAGGATTCTTTCCTTGGAAAGAAGCAAGGAAAATATGACCAGCAACACTGAGGGGAGGGGAAATCAGCAGAGACAGGAGGGAAGGGGGGGGCAGGGAAAGGGAAGGGAAGGGGAGGGTCAGGGGACATGTAGCGGGGACTCATGGACAGGCCAGGGGGGAGGAGCTGAGGGAGGGGGGTGGGAGGGGGCAGGGGGGGAGGGGGGGAGGCAGAGACAAATGTATTTTAAAAGTAAATAAATTTAAAAAAAAAAAGAAAAGAAAATAAACATTAAAATAGTAAAAAAAAAAAAAGAGAGAGAGAAGGGGGAGCTAGTACTGTTATCATCAGGAACAAGTGTTAGGGATCTGAAGACGTCGGTATTGGGGTTAAGCCCTGAAAGACTGGGGACATAATCAGATAGAATAGAGCCCCTTATTAAGCTAGAGTATCAAGATGAGTGCGGGATGACAGCAGAACTGTATTTGCTGAGCCATAGAACAACATACATTTCCTTCTGGATTAGATTAGAACTGTGTTGTGAGAGTATTATTATATCAAGCAACTTAATAGGTTTCCTTGGATAGAATGATTACCATTAATCTGACCAATAAAGCCCTTGGTGATTTCAGTGTGCATAGTGTTATGTCCCATATAACTGAACTCCTAATTAAGCACATTGCTGTCTTGTGTTGCTGTGATTGACTTAAGTGAATCTCTTTCTACGTTCACATCTTAAGCTAGTTCAGATGAGAGTCATTTTAAAAATAGAGCTTCATTGTAGTGTGATTAACATACAGGTACATATATGTAAAGTGTACAGTTGATAAGTTTGAAATATGTATACAGCTATGAAATTATCACTACAAGAAAGATAATGAACATACCATTAACAAAAGTTTTCTTGTGCCCTTTTGTAATTCTCTTTCCACATCCACTGATATATTTTCTGTTACCATAGATAAGTTTTTATTTTTTAGAGTTATCTAAATGGAATCATATGGCATGAGATTTTTTTTGTTTAGTTTCTCTCAGCATGTTTTTTAATTGACTTTTACCGTTTTTAAGCATAATTATTTTGAGTGTGTCAGTATTCATTCCTTTCTTTGCTAAAAAGTATTCTTTTGAATGGATATACCTTAGTTAGTTTATCCATTCACCTTTTGAGGATCATTCAGTTATTTCCAGTTTTTGGCTATTGCAAATAAAACAGGGATGAACATTTGTGTACAAATCTTTGTATGGTAGACACTTTTTTTTTTTTTTTTTTAGTAGAATGGCTGGGATCACAGGGCAGGAGTATGTTTAACTTTTTAAGAAATTGCCACACTGTTTTCCATTTTTACAAGTACATTGAGTTTCAGTTCTACATCCTTGCCATATTTGATATGGTCACTCTTTTTAATTTTACCTATTCTGGTGGGTGTTTAGTAGTAGCTCATTTTAGTTTTTAAATTAAACAAAATTTTATTGGAGAGAGAGAGAGATTGGTTTTTGTTGTTCCACTTATTTATGCATTCATTGGTCTTTTTTTTTATGTGCCCTTATTGGGGATGGAACCCGCAACATTGGTGTATCAGGATGATGCTCCAGCCAACTGACTTGCCTGGCCAGGGCTCTCATTTTAGTTTTAATTTGCCTTTCCATACTGACTAAGTGATGGTGAGCATTCTTTTATGTGCTTATTTGCCACCCCAGTGTATTCTTTGATAAAGTATCTGTTCACATATTTTCCTGTTACTTTTTTTTAAATTGAGGTAAAATACACATAACAAAATATTAACCATTTTTTTAACCATTTACATGAACAGTTAAATACAGTGTTAAGTACACTAACATTGTCGTACAGCCAGTCTTTAAATTCTTCATCTTACCAAAATAGGTACCTATTTTTTAAGTATTGGGTTGTTTGTTTTGACATTTTTCATGTGTTCAGATATAAATCCTTTATCAGATATATATAAATATTTTCTCCAATACTGTGTTTTGTCTTTTCAGATTACTGGGCATCTTGAAATTAGCCATGGTGGGGAATGATTTAGTCCACGTTAATTGGCAAATTGCTGCAAATCAGGGCTTTATTTATATTTTTATTGATTTTCTATCTTAAGAAAGTAATGGGGAAAAGTTAATAATGCAAATTAATATTGTTGTGTCTGTAGTCTTTACATTATGAATAACACAAAAAAGTAAGGAAGGAAATATTCTTTCTAGTATTTGAAAACTATTACCTAATCAGTAAAGAAGTCATTCAAATCATTGTTGAATGTCTTCAGTGTTTCACTCTTGTCAGATGCAGCCATCCCTTGGCTATGAATAAGAGTTTAGCTAAAATCGGTGAAAGCATTCTGTGACAGTCGATTGGCTATGTGGAATTTGCCATAAAGAAAAAGTGTTATATATTTTTTTATTATAAATTGTGTGGTACATAGTTTTCTCATTAAGTAAAATTTATAAAAAGCTTATTTATATATGAATATGTATACATTTTTTTCTCTGCAGAGCCAATTGTGAAACATTTACCAGTATACCACTGACCACACACTAATAAGAAAGCACTAAGGGAAATGTTTCTAGACTCATGTAACTTGAATGAGTCAAGAAAGAAAAATAAGTTCCAGAAAGTCATTTTATAGGTGATAAAAGACCCAGGCTAATGTTGAGACCACAGGGGGAAAGAGATGTGTCGTGGAGAGAAAAAATAGTACACAGAAGGCCAAGTCAATTCTCTTACTACTAAAGACACAGAGGAAGTGAATCGTTAGCTGTAGGGTATTTGTTTTGGTCTCATTTGACTTGTTCTTAGTTTTGTCATTGTTATGTAATAATCTGTTAATGGTATTGAAGAAGAATGTTAAAAATTCACATATCATTAGTGTTACATTAGCAACTACAAGTTAAGCCTTGAATATCACCAAATCTAACTTTTCTTGAGACCAAAATAATTCCAAAATATTTTTTAAAATTAAAAATTGGAATGAAACAATATGTTTACTATTATTAGTACATTACTTTTTAATCTATACACTCAATTGTTATATTTATCATAGTTATATTTCTTTCAAAAGTTTTTTTTTTCAGAATATCTTGATTTTTGAATTTGATGCTTAAGTTTAAAAATATTTTGTTTTGTAGCCATGCAGGATATACTTACTGTGGGTCTTGTGCCGCTCATGCTTACAAACAAGTGGATCCATCTATTACGTAAGTAATCTAGTTAGAGACCATTTTGTTCTGGAGTAATGTTGGGAATTATAACTGCTTTGTCACTGAAATAATTTGTTTTGCATACTTACTGTTACTGTATACTCTGTCATTAAGAATTTGACTTTTTATAAATTTGATATTTTTTATAGGTTACAGAAAGCTTTAATGCTATTTTTCATTTTCTGAACATTTAGTTTTTACCTTCCCTTAGGTTGGTGAAACGTTTACTTCTGGAAATATTCAAAGGTTAATGTGATACTGTGATTTATAAGAAAAACGTATTTGGTCACTCAGATGACCAAAATGCATTTCTCATATATATTTGGTCTTAGTCCCCAGTTCCTAACTCACAGGTCCCCAAACCCTTGCAATTCCCCAAGTGTGGAGTGTCATGAAGGTGCCTCTTGTCATAGAGAAGGCATAAGGAGATGACTTTTGGATCCTGCCTAAGGACAGGGGCTGGTTGCCAGGAGAACCAATCATGTGATTAGAGGGTTGGAACTTTTCACTCCCACTCCTGACCGCTGGGGAGTAAGGAGGGCCTGGAGGTTGAATCAGTCACCAGTGCCCAGTGATTTAATCAGTCGTGACCAAATAATGAGACCTCCATAAAACCCAAGAGGACAGCATTCAGAGAACTTCTGGGTTGATCTAAGGGAGAGTGGCGCCCTGGAGAGGGAGTGGAAGTTACACTCCCTTTCCCCAGAGCTTGCCCTCTGCACCTCTTGTAACTGGGTGTTCCTGAGTTATATCATTTTAGCCGGTCAGTAAGAAGTACAAGTTACAACCTGGGCTTCCGAGAGGCACCTGAAATGGGGGTTTTGGGGGCAGTCCTGTAGGACTGAACCTGTAACCTAGGGAATCTGATGCTATTTCCAGGCAGCATCTAAGAATTGGAGAGGTGGAAAACCACTCTCTCCCACCCCCCACGTTAGAATTAGGTCCAGGAACTCTAACAGTTAAAATATTTTGGTTTAAAATTTTTCTTGGAAAACCTGGAGATAAGCATTTTCTATTTTAATCACTTTCTAATTTAAAATTCATTATTGTATCTCTTAAGTTGTGGTTAATGAGAGAATAATTTCTCATTGACAGGATAAGTTACCTGAATTATTTTAGAATCTGACAGTGTATCTCATATGGTGTTTGAAGCATATATGTGTTTAATAGTTTAATGACAGCTCTGAAATTAGCTTTATAAAAAATCATTCTGGCAAATTGAGACTGAGTAGTATACTCCTGTCTAAAATGAGAAATTTGTGAACTTTTAAAAGCTTAGCATACTACTCTCTATAATAAGAAACGTGAACTTTCTAAAATTTCTGCAGGAAATAGCCACCCAAATTATTTAATTTTCTCACTAGCATTTTATTTAGTTAATTTACTACATATGAACCAGTAGAAGGGTCCAGTCTGCATTGCTAGATGTGTACACACTATGTGAATAGATAAAATCAATGACCTTAATTCTGTTTAAAGTTGATTGTTAGCAGTAGTTCTAGTAATAGTAGTACATCTGTACTATAGAGCTGAAGCATAATCATTCAAAAGAAGTAACTAACAGCAGCTATTAAGTTTAAAAAGAAAATCTCACCCACAATCTACTCTTTTTCCTTTGAGCAATTTGTTCAGTTTTTTAAAACAAAAAGGCTGCTCTTTATTGTTTTTATGTAGTGTGCCCTGCACATTGTACCATACCTTTTTTGAGAATTATTTTTAGAAAGTTTTAAATAATAAATAAAATAATAATGTTGCCAAATTGATGAGGATTTGGTTAGGCCTGCCTCATTTTTGATGTTTTGAGGTGTGTCTTTAACAAATATTTCTTGATACATGTTTAATATACAATTTTAACTAAATTATTTCATGAATAAGAACAGACAGAAATTAGATTGGAAATATTTTCAGAAATTTGCTTTATTTGGTCCTGGGCCTATAAGCCAGCTATTGTCAAGGTTAGTACATGTGACAGCTTTTTCCAAATTTTTCTCTATTTGACAGAATCTTTATTGATAACGATATGTGTTGGAAGGGTACCCCCAAATCAAATTTGGCCTTAGAATACATAGAGACATAAAGAGTCAGTATTGGTAGAAGTAGAAAGCTTTTGTTAAATAAGTTGACGGAAAATGAGACTGGAAGGAAAAAGATAAAGAATAAAAAGGGAAGAGAACCAAGGACTAAGAATATGAGAAAGGAGATTAGTGAAAAGAGAGGCAAATGATGAATGAAGATGTAATCAGCTTATTGTTGGTAATTAGTATACAATAATTGAATATGGAATAAATAAATTTGAAGGTCTTAGTGTTAAAAAAAAATAGACAGTCATATTTGTATTCTTTTGAAAGTGCCCTGCTCTGAGATTTGCAGTGTCTTCAGAGTCCTTTGATAAAACAAAAAACATCCTTTTGGGAACTATGAGAAATATAGAGAAATAATAAAGAACAGTCCAAGAGAGGTTAAATTCTGTACCATTAGTTTTCATTCTTACCTTTCACATTAATCCATTTTCTACATGCCAACCAGGATTATCTTTTGTACTCCTCTTGCCCTTTGAAGGGATCTTCTACCTTTGCATGACTTTTTTTTTTTTTAGCATCTTGCATGTAACATTTGGAAAGTATTTGTTTATTGAATTATGTAAATCTTTTAAATGTTGTCAAACAGTGTCAGAAGTCACATGTGTTAATATCATCCCTGATTTCATCAGAAAAATCTTTAGCTATTGGGAAGCTGTCAATCTTACAGGGATAGAAGTTTTGCAAAAGTCTAGTTTTCACTTAAAATCTTCAATTTTATCTTTGGCAACAAATGTATCATATGTTTTCTTTGAAGTGGCAGGCTCATTTTGTTCATCTTCGTAGAAGATTTCTGCCAACTACCGTATTTTGCCGTGCATAACGCGCTCCATGTATAATGCATACCCAAGCTTTTGGGGAAAAGAAATCTTTTGTTTTAATTTTTTAATTATTTATATTTACATACCTGTTTTCTGTGTTATAAAGGAATTTAAGCATTTATTTTGAACATACTATGGTACAAGAAATTTTATGTAACAAATAATTACAAAACATAAGAACAGATACAAAGTACAAGAAACTATGTACCTGTAACAAATTAGCATTACCCATGTAAAATGAGCGTTCTTATTTTTCCCTCAAAAATTTGAGCAAAAATGTGAGCATTATGAATGGCAAAATACAGTGACTAAATTGGAATACCCATAATTTGTCTACTATCAACTTTTGACATGAAAATTGTGTTCCATGAAGAAAATCTGGGTTAGCTTACAAACTCACGGTCATACTAATGCTTTTCCATGAGACATACTCCTGTATGCAGTAGACGTGTTATGCATTTATCACCACAAGTTGAATGCATTGTGTCGTACAGAATAATTTTATGAAATCATACTCAAATTTCAAGATTTAATGAAATTAAGTGAAACTGGCCTTATAAAAAAACCCCCAACATGCTGTGGGTGAAGGTGAATACCTTTTGGTTCCATTACCTTGATCGTAATTCTAATGTGCCAGTGGTTTACCCCAGCCTCACTTTTGTATCAGAAGGGCAGATGTCATCACAGTGAAAAAGGCACATAACTGTTTTTATTATGATGAAAATAGTTTTGATTTTGTAAACCCCTTGAAAGAGTCTTGAGGAATTCACAGTTCATGCTTTGAGGATTGCTGTGATGCAGGGTGATTAGATTTAGATTATGGTTTAGGTCTGTGGATAAGGTCTTGGGGGAAGGCATCTCTTAGGAAATGATTTTTAAGCCAAGCAAAAGGAATGCGTGGAGGCTTTGAAGTAGGCAAAATTGTTTGTGCTATCAAGGAACTGCAAGAAGACCAGTATATATAAAGTATTGTGTTCAAGGGGAAGAGTAATACAAAAAGGGGCCAGTGTATTTGAAACTTCAGAACCCATTTTAAGAATTTTGACTTTAATTCTCTGACCATGGAAAGCCATTGAAAGACTTTTTAATCAGGAGAGTGATAGGATCCAATTTATATTTCAAAAATAGCACTCTGGCTGGCTGTTTTAAGAAATTTAGGAAAAATTAAAGGAATATATTTAGTTAAGTTCTTGCCCATATTTATAGTTACAAAGTCTTTTCCTATTACTAAACCTTTAACTAAAAATAAACTCAGGATATACTTTGATAGTAACTTGATTCGTATCTTTCACAAAGTCTTGCATGACAGAAAAAGAGGATAAAAAGGAATCTTACTGGGTGTTTCATGCTTTAGTTAAAATGTCTGCACTTGCCACGAAACAGTTTTAAAAATTACTTGTGTTACATCATTTAGAGTAAGTAGTTGAGTATTTATGAGGATAGACACTCAGGTAACTTACGTATTGGGTGCACAGATGACACTCATAGTAAGTAAATCCACAAGTGTGAATTCTCTGGAGGTATTAGATGTGAACTACATTTATTTCTAAAAAGAATGGCTCCTGATTTTTCCTTATTTTTTCATATTAAAGGTTTTTTTTACATGTGTGACAACAGTGATGACATGTTAATATTTAAAAGTCCTTTCTTTAAAGACAAAGCACTTTGCAGTTTATTAAATGGAAAGTGGCTTTGCTTTTAATGTGCTTATTACTTATTTGTCTCCAAAATATTGGTGTTTATGCATCTAGCAATGTAGCAAAAAAAAAAAAAGAAGCAATATCTTTTATTTACACTGTTAATATTCTTTTTGTTAGCATAGGGCTAACAGAGACCTATTTTGAGACTTCTGGTTTGATATGTACTTTATCTTCAATGATAACTAGCCTTTTTTGGTTTGTTTTCGGGTATATCACTTTTAAGAGTTTTATGTCAATGGGACCCAAGCCTCTTTTTTCCTATTATTTCTCTTAACCAAATGTGGACTTCACTGTATTGCCTTTGGGTGAGTTTCTGCCAAACTGGAAAGAATCTGTTGGGTATACAGTTGGATAACTCAGACTGGAGGGAGCTCTTTTTCCCAGCAGTCTCCATCTTTTGAGCGAGGCTGGGTCTGACACAAAAGCAAGCAAGGTCACTAGTCAGTATCAGAGGAGGCAGTTAGGCTTTCGATGCTGACCTTGGGTCTCTATTTCTGGGTTAGTGCTCATCTTTTGTCCACTGTAAGAATCTCATTATACCTATCTATGAAAGGTATCTATACCTTGAGTGTAGGTTGGTATTTTAAAAGCCTTTTCATATTTTAATTATCCTGGATTTCCTAGGAATGTTCTGATTTTAAATATTTATCCCTCTCCTCCCTCTTTTCATATAAATGAATTCCTCAAATATAAAAAATGCCATTTATCATATTTGATTCTTACTCATATAAATACTTGTCCCTGCTCTGGCTGGTGTGGCTCAGTGGATTGAGTGCCAGCCTGCGAAGAAAAGGGTCACCAGTTCAATTCCCAGTCAGGGCACATGCCTGGGTTGCGGGCCAGGTCCCCGGTAGGGGGGGTGTTTGAGATGCAACCAACCACACATTGATGTTTCTCTCCTCTTTATCCCTCTCTTCCCCTCTCTAAAAATAAATAAATAAAATCTTTAAAAATATACTTGTCCTTCAACAAGTGACGTTATCTATTTCCCACATTAGATGTTGATTTAAAAAAATTGTGTTGATGTGTATGTGCTGTTAAAATAGGAGAACATAGTGGTATGTCTTTTGTTCATTTAGGAAGCTGTGGATTTGATCTTTTCTTTCTGAAATGGTTACTGAGTTAATTATAATGGTGATGACAAGGAGTGAGTATTATCAGTGGGGGGGCAGCAGGAAAAGAGATTATGTTTCTGACTAGAAATAGCCTGTGGTTGCAGTCTTATATGTTTGCTATGTGTGATGTCTTGAGGAGCTTTTGGGACTCTGAACTGAGAATTGGTTTTTCCTTTTCCTTGTCCATCTTTCTCATCCCCCACTCCCTCCTGCCAAAGAACAAGTAACATAGAGCAGACAATAGGTTAATTTTTTAGCTGTTATAGAATTTTATAAAAATAAATATATTGCTAAAGCATCTATTCTTTGCAAGGTTTTGATATGAAACAACTAAGTCATGTATCAGTGTTTGTCCATTAATTGAACAATGAGAAGTACTTAATTTTCTAAGTACATAGCCAATCATATGTTCCCTTCTTTCTCGGGATTTTGTTTTTTGGGTCTGTATGTTTGTGTGTGAGTGTGGTGTGTGTAAATTTTGTTCATATGAATCTGGGAGAACAGAAAATATGGGTAGTTTCAGAGTTTAGATTGTAGGGATGTTTGAGATAAAATGAAAGTTAATTTGACTCTTTTTTTAAAAAGTATTATTTATTTTTAGAGGGAGGGAAAAAGGAGCGAGAGAAATATCAGCTGGTTGCCTCTTACACGTCCCAACTGGGGACCTAGTCTGCAACCCAGGCCTGTGCCCTGACCAGGAATTGAACCACTGACATTTCGGTTTGTAGGCTGACTCTCAGTTCACTGAACCACACCAGCCAGGGCTATTTTCACTCTTGTTGTTAAGATAAAAGGATTGTAAAGATTTAAACTACAGTTTAGCCCAATTCTTTTCTTTAGCCTAGAGTGCAAATAACACAATCAAGTCTCTTTGTTTTTGAGAATGACTTCTACTTGAATGGGAACAGAGGAAGCTTATTTCACAGAATTCTCAACAAGATGCCTTTTTTCCTCTATGAATATAGTTTTATCAGAGTACTTCTTTGTAATGATATTTTGCATGGATTTTTATTAAAGTTGTGGTAGACTATAGATGGTGAATTTAGAATGTGTTAGAATTTTGAGATTTTATTTTTAATAGCTGAAATGTTTCAAATTTAATTACTATAGTTATTGAAAACTAACTCTAACCCTGTTGTGAAGACAGAAGTGATTTTAAGCATACTGGGTTGGTTTACTGTAGATGATTAGTAATTGGAATTTTTAATTGTTGAACATGGTTCTTTTAACAGCCTTCCAACAAAAAGACAGAGATAAAGAAATGAACTTAGTTAACTGAGGAGAAAAATCACTAGTACGTGTATTAGTTTGCTAGTGCTGCCGTAACAAAATAGCAGAAACTGGGCAGCTGAAACAACAGAAATTTTCTCACAGTTCTGAAGTCTAGAAGTTTGAGATTGAGGAGCAGGCAGGGTTAGTTTCTCCTGAGACCTCTGTCCTTGGCTTGCAGATGGGTGTCCTCTTAATGCCTCTTCACATGGTCACCTCTCTGTGCCTGTGCACCCCTGGTGTTTCTTCCTCTACTTCCAAGGACACCAGTCATATTGGATTCAGCCTTACCCCAATGGCCTCTCTTTAACTTAATAACCTCTTTAAAGACCTTATTTTCAAATATGGTTACATTCTGAGGTACTGGGGTGAGACTTCAACATAGGAATTTTAGGGGAACACAATTTAGCACTTAACAGTAGGCAATGAGATCAATCAAGGAAAATAGTATTACATAATTTTTAAAATTTACTTATTTTTTCTTTTATTTAATAAAGTTTGTGTAGAAGTGCAATTGTTCTGTGCTTTTTGTTGCATATCTCCTAGCCGGAGAATTTTCATCCTCGGGCCTTCTCATCATGTGCCCCTCTCTCGATGTGCACTTTCCAGTGTGGATATATACAGGACACCTCTGTATGATCTTCGTATTGACCAAAAGAGTAAGTATATAGAAGTCATATAGCTTTTATTTTTAAAAGATTTTATTTATTTATTTTTAGAGAGGGGGCAGGGAGGGAGAAAGAAAGGAGAGAAACATTCATGTATGAGATACACACCAATTGGTTGCCTGTCACACGTGACTGGCCCAAAACCCAGGCATGTGCTCCGACTAGGAATCAAACCGGTGACATTTCACCTTATGGGACAAAGCCCAACCAACTGAATCACACCAGTCAGGGATAGAAATCATAGCTTTTAAACAGCTAAAGGTTTTTAATAAGAATTATAAGTTAATTTAAAAATTAAATGTGAATATGAAAAGTAATATATCAGTTTAAAAAAATAAAATTTGTTGTAACTAATGTACTGTAATAGAATAACAATAAAAAAATTTAAAAAATAAAAACAAAGAAAGAACATCTCCTGTATGCTTAAAAGACAACCACAGTTTTTCTGCCAGTCACAAAAAATATTTGTCAGATTAGCTAGTCTCTAGACTGTAGTGGTTGCATTTATATTCAGGAAAGAACTGTGTACTCATTGTACTTTGAGACAGGAAATTAGAGCCTATCACAACGTGATGAAAGATTCTGGGCATGTTAGTCAACCCTTATGTATATCACTTTCTTCTCTGTAAATAGATAATGGTGATAAAGCCTTTATTTCCTCCCAAATGATTTTTATGGGAAAAACTGAGACTGTAGTTATGAAACTCTTGAAAGAAAAATGTCACATAAAAAGTATTTATTTTTTTAAATGTCTTATTTTGATTTATTTTTTCCATAGGCTTTCAGAACTCACACTTTTTATTTAATTGGGTATCATTTTATATATTGAATGAGTAAAGCAAAACTTTTTGACTTTGAATAGTATTTTCAGTGGAATGGGAGAACATAATGTGAAAACCACAGAATAGTACAGAAAATAGTGTTACAAATTTTCCTGTACTCATCATCCATAATTAACTCAGAATTTACCGCTTGTCTGAACTCAATATACATTCTCACCAGGAATCACCTTTATGGATTTGGAGTGTATCCTTTCAGTTCACCAATTTATAGTTCACCAATTTATAGTTTAAGTATGTTGAATGCTTATTGTTCCAAGAAATTTTGCTAAACATACTTCTGTAGAGTGAAAGAAACCATTTACAAAGGAAATGTCACCTCTTTTTTCTTTCCTTCTTTTTTTAGGCCTAAATTTTTATCATTTGGGGTTTTAAGTATCATGGAGTATTAACAATTGTTAGAATATATATTATCAGTGGAGCTGGAGTATTACTAGACTTACTCCCTGGGTTGGTTTTAGGGGACAAACTTTATTGGATAGCCTGCCAAAGAAGGAATGGAAGATTTCTAATCAGGTATATTTTTGTAGAAAAACAGTCATAGGACCATTTGTAGTTCTTTTTTTTTAATATTTATCCCATTTCTTTGATGTAGTTATAAAAATGTTGGTTTAGTCTATGATAATACAGAAACACTCATTACTTTTTTTACATATTAAATTTCATCATTTTTTTGCTATACAATATTCAGTTTGAAGTAAAGTTTATCGCAAGGGTCTGAATTACTAGATCATTTTAATATTATTTATGGCATGGAACTGTTGTGAATTTATGTTCTGGTCTATCCCACAAGCTTTATTTTTAATTTTGAGGAAAGTAGCAGTCTTAGTGAGAATTTTTTTTTCTTACTATAGTCAAAACCTGAGGTGTGATATAATAATCTCATACATTTTATTAAAAAACAAAGCAAATCAGAAATTATATTAACTTCATGCATATGTGGACCAGTGGTTTTTTTCCATGTTTCAGTAGGAGTTCTAATCAACTACTCTCTCTTTAGTGTGTGCTCATTAAAGTTAAGGAAAGGCTAGGACCTGGACGTGATTTTTTGGTACAATAAAGGGAGCTGATGAAAATTTTAAATTATTACCTATGTAACTATGCAACATAAAAATGTTGAGTAAGTTATTTACATGTATTATTGTTTTGTATGGTATGTGAAAAGCTATTTTTTTCTTTTTTAAAAACGGAGGAAAAATTGAAGAATATTATGCGATCCTTCTGTCTTTTGTCAAACATAGTTTTATGTTACTGGGTGGAGTTTCACAGGATAAGGATATACATTAATATATTTGTTTTACTATATTTTGAAATCTCTTTAGTTTACGGAGAACTATGGAAGACAGGAATGTTTGAACGCATGTCTCTGCAGACAGATGAAGATGAACACAGTATTGAAATGCATTTGCCTTATACAGCTAAAGCCATGGAAAGGTATATTGATTAATATAAGAAATTTCAGAAATTATAACTATTAACTTCTTTGGAATTATTTTAATTAGGGTAAGATAATCATTAGGGTAAGGAGATTTAAAAAACTCATTGGCTTAAAGCAATACAAACTTATTTTCTCAGTTCTGGAAAATATTTTTTATTTGAAATGAAGTAAAAATTTGAGGTTGGATTTTCTTAATGTGAATTGAAGTTGGTTTTGAATAGCTTGTTCATGAAAGCTGAACATATGACTTGAACAGGTTGTTTTATTAGGGGGAAATACAGAAAAACCCCGTGTGTGTGTGTATGTGTGTATTGGGTTACCTATTATTTTATTCGTTAGATGTTTGTTTATCTTAACATAATTATATTCTTTTATGGTATGGTGTCATAAGTAAGTAATAAAATTATAGATATGGGAAAAATATTGGAGGTCATTTATTTCAGCCTTACACAAAATATATGAATCTCTTTCATAATGTGCTTGACAGATTATTATTTGGTATCTGCTTAAGGTCTTCCGGTGATAGGGTGAGTACTCAGTAGACTATAAGAGAGTGAGGACAGGGACAATGTCTGTTTTCTCCACTTACACCTCAGTGCCTAGCACAGTGCCAGTCACATAGTAGTTATTAATTTATTTTGGTGCAGTGAAAGAATTGTTTTAAGAGCTTTCTTTCAGGTTGGTATTCAGATTAGAAAGTCTACTGTTCACAGGTCACATTTCTCTCATTTTTTCAAACATTTCCTTTATGTGGACTTAATATGCTATATGTAGTGTGACTAGTTTTAAATATGATAAGATTACTCCTTCTGTGGCTCTCATTACTGCATTCTCTTAGTAAAGTACATGGTGCATTTTAGGTTCTCAGTCAATATTTGTTTGAGATTACAATAACATTTTTAATGTTCTTGTGGCAAATGTACTGTGGTCAGCTGAAACCTAAGGCTTCTTCATATTGTTAAGCTGGATTATTTTATCCTCTTGTATTTTTGTGGTTGATTTCTTTTTAAATGTACAGGTATACTGCTCTGTAATTTTGTCTTGTTGGTTTTAGTACATTATTGCACTTTTTTGGATCATTTCCACTCTTAATTCTGTCATCAGAATATTATTTACTTCTCTCAGTCTTATGTTATTGATACCTGTTTACAATGATAACTATGAGGAACTACCTAAATCTGGTGAAGTTTCTAAGAATCAATGCGATATTAAATTATAAGCTGTATAACTCCAGGTTAATTGTGTTTTAGTACATTCTGATTCTTCAGAAATTATAAAGCAATATGGGATGTTTATTTCTTGGATTGATAGTATAATTGAAACATTTCATTCTTCAGCTACATAGAATAATAGAAAACTTTTGTTATTTGCTAAAGTGTTTGCATATTTTGTCATGAGAAAATAAATATTTTTGACTTAATAGATTTCGGTGTGATAGAACCAGTAAGCTCCCAGCAACATCCTTAAGGAAGTTTTAACAAAATAACATTTTTGTTACTATTTCAAAAGTAAAACATGTGCATTGTGAAAAATTTAGAAATAGAAACTTAAAACCAACAAAAACATTCCTATTCATAATTTCCCCTCTATTAAATAGTGTTAAATAACCACTGTTAGGTATATCACTTCTTAAGAAAACCTTTCCTGCTTCACAGATTACATTAGGATCCCTAATATTGACTCTTAGAAAGTGCCCAATACTTTTTCTTTTGTAGCCTTTGCTACACTCACTACCTGTATCAGCTGTCCACTGGTGAGGAACAAATTGCTCTAAAACCTCGTGGCTTAAAGTCACAACTATTTTGTTGCTCACAGTTTTAGGGTCAGGAGTTTTTTCAGGGAACACCTTGCTGCAGGTGTTGACCGAGGTGGCTGGAATGGGCTAGAAAATCCACAATAGCCTTACTGCTGGCTTTTAGTTGAGACACCTCATTTGTTCTGTAGGTGGCCAGTTTGTTCTTCAAACAAGGCTTTTCTCTCTTCCTGGTCTCTCTCTCTCTCTCTCGAAGGATAGCCTAGATTTCCTTACATGGTGATTCAGGATAGCAAGAGAGACAAAACAGAAGTTTCTTGGCCTATTGAAGGCCTAGGCTGAAACTACATGGCATCATTTTTACTGTATTCTATTTTTCAAAGCAGAACACAGTGTCAGCCAAGGTTTAAGTGAGGAGAAATAGATTCCACCTCTTGATGGGGGGGGCAGTAGCATGTGTGTAGAGGAATAGTAGGAATTGTTGGCAGCCATCTTTGCAGATGGACTTTTACAGTTCTTCCTCGGATGGACAGGTCACATCTCTCCAAAATGCTGTACACATTCCTAAAATGCCTAGAAATCTCATTTAGTTATTATCTCAGGTTCAGAGTCCCTTATCTTATGATCTGCATTTGACTGGGATATGGAAGAGATTCCTTGGGTATACAGCTCCTGTTGATTTGGATACCTGTTAACTAAGAAGTCAAATTACATCCCACTCCCCTGAGTATATATACTCAATATATAATTTTGAGACAGGGACAGTTAACCATAGTAGATACTCCCATTGGATAGTGAAAGAATGGAAAGCATATGATAGTATTTGGTCCAAAGAAATTCTGAAATCTAATCAGGGTACAGGGAATGTCCTTGATTACAGTTTACTTCTGGCTTTTGGTAGTGGCTTTATGGATTCATTCTTCTCAGCTTGTGGCTGGGGTCTTTGGACTCTTGGCTCTACTCCCTGAAATGGGCCTTGTTTATACCTGAGTAGCAGTTTCAGTCTACATCATATGCGACAGTTTAAGAGCCTAAAGGCCGCTTTTCATCTGAAACACAGTCCCCGCCCCCCAAAACTAATAGAACTCCATTAAACACTTTGTAGGTTTTCTGTATATCGTATTATAAGTTCATTCTATTAGACCAGCAGTTTTCAACTGGTGTGCCTCAAGACTTTTTAAAACATGCAATACCTGACTATTTAGTCAGGGGCACTGACCTATTTTTCCTTAGATTGTCATATAAAAAAATGACAACAGCCAAACACAGCAATAGCTGTGTGTGCATGAATGAAAACTACACTTATTTTACAGAGACCAGTATGACTCAGTTTTTTGGGAGTTATCCTGCAAAGCGAAGGGTTACCAGTTCAGTTCCTAGTTAGGGCGCATGCCTGGGTTGTGGGTTTGGTCTCCAGTTGGAGTACATACCAGATGCAACCGATCGATGTTTCTTTCCCTCCCCCCGCCCCGCCCCGCCTAAAAATAAATAAATAAAATCTTTTAAAAATTGGACCCATTTTTTTTTGTCAGATTAGCAAAAAATATTTTTTTTGGTGTGCTGCAGAATTCTTGTAATTAGTTTATGTGTGCCATGAGATGAAAAAAGGTTGAAAATCCTGTATTAGACAAAAGTCACATTCATGTTTCTTTCTGAGGCAGGACTCTCTCTACTTTGGATCCCAAGTTAAGGTCCTCTAATTTTCTTAGAAGCCTATTTGCCTACCTGAGAGAGTATGCAAGCACTGTCTTAAATCTTTCTGAGGTTTTATTCTTAGCACTCTGGATTTGATCTTTGTCCTCATGCTGTTTCTTTGACAGTATTTTGCTATGTGAAGGCTAGTTTTGAGAAACTTATTTTCTAGTCATGCACCTCCAGGTTAGAAATAAAAACCTGGGATTTGGGGACACCGATCCCTGTGCAATAGAAAATCCTCATGTAACTTTTGCCGCTTCCCGAACTTTACAACTAATAGCTACTGTTGATCAGAAGCCTTACCAATAATATAAACCAGCGATTTTCAACCTTTTTTCATCTCATGACACACATAGTCACTGAAAATCTGCGGCACACCAAAAAAAGGCATCTTTATTGTTAACCTAACCGAAAAAAATAGGTATAACTTTGATTCATTCACACTGGGTGGCTTTTGTTGTCTTGGCTCTTGTCTTTTTTTTTTTTGGACAACCTAAGGGAAAAGAGGTCAGTGCCCCTGACTAAATAGTCAGTTATTGCATGTTTTAAAAATTCTTGCAGTACCGTAGTTGAATATTACATTAATGGTTGATAAACACATACTTTGTATGTTAAGTGTACTCTATACTGTATTCTTACAATAAAGTAAACTAGAGAAAAGAAAATGTTACTAAGGAAATCATAGAGAAAATACATTTACAGTACTGTACATATTTATTGAAAAAAAATCTATGTATATGTGGACCTGTATAGTTTAAATCCATGTTGTTCAAGGGGCAGCCTGTATTAAAAAACAACAACAACAACAACAAACCTTGTAATTCTTTAGCCCATGTTTTTCTTCTTATACCTTCTCAAATTTGGCTATAAAGAAGCCATTGACACTTTGAATACTTTGCCTGGAAACCTTTGCTTGATCTACAGTTTAACTAGGTATATTTTTATTCTTTCAAGTTACTTCATCTGACTTCAAGTGTACTAATTGTTCTGCCTGTATATAACGAGTCACTCTTCTTCAAGCCTTCTAGAGCAATTTTCTTAACTGCTCTTTTAGTTTCAAGTCTCTTTTTTGTCCTATCAGCTTCTGCCTGCATCTGTGAGTGAAAGCTGATATTGTATGTTTTAGGTTTCTGTTATTAATACAGAAGTACCCTTTCCAAATACATACCATTTTTTCTTTTTGGAGCAGTCATCTATTGTAACATGACAAATCACCTCAAAGTGCTTATTTGCTTGTTTATGATTCTGCAGGCTAGAAATTGGGTCAGGGGAGAGTAGCAACAGCTCGTTTCTGTTTCATCTGCCAGTTGAGGCAGGATGATTTAGGCTGAACTCTCCAAGATGTCTTCCCGTCAGGGGCTGTGATGTTGCTTGTCTACTGAGGCAATTTAGTTCTCTTCTTGATGCTATCTTCAACTGTTGTCACTCATCCTTAAGGGCCTCTGTCTACAAGATATCCTTCACAAGCAGGATAGCCTTGCACTGTCATGAGGTACACAGCTATTCATGGTAGCCAGAAAGCAGAAGTAGAAAGTTTCAGGCATCTTA